CGACTTCAGTAGATCTCTTATCATAAGTTGTTAACCTCATCGAATCAGCAGACGTTTTCAAGTTTGAACGCACTTGATGGTGAATATCATCCATCCTTTCCGATAACACTTTCACAAACTCAGACACATTCTCAGGCAACTCTTCATAAGGTGGGCGGCCATTATGCTTGGGTCCCCTTTTTGCACTACATGCACTCCATGTCCGGCACCATTCTTCCACATCTTGCCTCATACCTATCCAGTAAAATCTTTGTCGTAGGTGACTCAATGTCTTCCTAATTCCGAGATGTCATCCTGTTAAATTATCATGGGATCGACGCAGCACAACTTCCCGTAACTTCCTCGGTATAACTGTTTGCCAAGTCGTCACTTTCCCATCTGTAGTTTCCCATCTCCAGACAAGAATACCATTTTCAAGCTTCAACTGGTCCCATTGTGCCCAATAGTGCTTTGTCACGGGGCTTAGACTAAACACCTTCTCCCAAGCAGGGCGCACAACACTCGCTTTTAGAAAATCAATCATTGGCCTCAATTCCTGGTCCCTCTCCTGTTCTGCCCCGATATCTATATTTGGTTTCCCTTCACCATCATCAACTCTTTCAGTCGGCTTGACTTCAGCCTGATGGCACCCAATCAGCTCAACCTCTCTTTTAACAGTTACCGGAACTTGGCCTTTGTTATTCCCAAACGTCATTTTATCAAAATCAATTACAAACTTTCTTGGTAGTAGATAGTCCAATCCTAATATGCATTCGTCTTCAATGTCAGCCAAGTATACATTCTGTCTGTCCTTTATGCCCATGAGCTCAATAGTTACCCACACTGGTCCCCACAATCTTGTAGAATGTCCTGTCACACCATAAAGCTTCTCTATGGCTTCTGGTACTCCTTCGTGATTTAACACCTTGATGCTCACAAGGGTTTGCTGAGACGCAGAGTCTATGACAAAGTTGCACCTTTGCCCATCCAGCTTTCCTGTCACATAGACACTGTGTGTGCTTGGCATTTTACACCTAGCTGTAGGGACTTTCATGATGGGGGTTGGTGGGCGTCGCTCAACACCAACCACTACTGGTCTCCTTGAGGCTGACTTGTTGGTAATATTTTTCTACACTGGCTCCTCAAATGTCCGTTGCTTTCCACAGTTCCGACAACTTTTCTGGATACCAGCCTTTCCTGTTGTGGCACCTCCCCTGTGTTGAAGTTTCCAGCATTGAGCTCTTTTGTGCCCAGGTTTATTACAGTGCCAGCAAAGTCCCTCAAACCTCTCTGAAAGCTGACCTTTTCTGGCCTTGAATCCAGATGACTGTACCAACCTTGGTGCCTCTGTGCTGGACTTTACGTAGGATTCAAATTCGAGAGCTCTGGCCATTGCATCCTGCATGGTAGAGGGGTGTGCTTGCTTCACTTGTATTTAAGTTGTGGACTATCCAAGGCATCTACGAACTGATCCCTCAGCAACAACTTGAGGAGATCGGGTGGTGCAGTTGGGTAGGCCTTGTGTGCCATGCTCTCCAAGTCCTGTGCCAGCTCTTGCAGGCTCTCCCCTTTAGCACGGACTCTCGTCCTGAATCTGGCCCTGTAGACTGGTTTTGGGTTCCGTACCTGATTTCTAGAGCCGACACCAGTGTTCTATAGTTGTGTCTGTCCGCTGCTGTCAACTGTCCAAGTATTTCCAGTGGTTGCCCCTTCAAGCTCGTTGCCAGATATATTGCTTTCTGCTCCT